GACACAATGCTACATAACGTGACACGACGCTACATCACGCGACACGACGCTAAATCACGCGACACGACGCTACATCACGCGACACGACGCTACGTCACGCGACACGACTCTACATCACGCGACAGACGCTACATCACGCGACATAACGGTACATCACGCGACACGACACTACATCATGCGACACGACGCTACATCACGCGATACGACGCTACATCACGCGACACGAGCTATGTGCGAGGAACCCTCGCACATAGCTCGCAGAGCTGATGGCCGACGCTAGGGTAGAAAAGTTCTCGAGTGGCGACCACAAGCCGGAAGACGTAGTGTGGGTAGGCTCCCCCCTAGGTGGACCGACAATCTGGTGAAGGTTTCGGGAGGTGCATGGATGTGGGCGGAGCAGAACCGGTCTGTAATGTTGTGGAAATCCTTGGAGGAGGCCTTTGTCCAGCAGTGGACGTCATTCTGCTGAAACGAACGAACGAATGCCTTGTCTCCTGGTTTTTATAGTTCAAATTAAAACCAGATGTCTATATAATTATGGTTTACAGATTCACACCATGTTCACTTCGATTTGTATACAGCTGCGTAATGTGTGCAAGTCAAGTCGTTTTCACGGCTTTCTGTGTACAGAGGCTGATGCGGAATTATGTGTCAATATCGATGCTAGGTAAGAAACTAGATACTTTTAATAATACCCATAGTTAACCAAAGTATTTAAGCAAAAAAGTCAATTTTCAATCGAAAAAGCAACTGATTTTTTTTCTCTTCAAAAGAACCTTTTTATATTTAAACAACTGATTGTAAAAAAATAGCGGAATTTGGGGTAAACCTAAACATAACTTTTATTCTAATAAGTCCAGTAACGTGAGGATAAATTTAAGTAGTAGAGATATTCAGTTCGGTATTTGAATTGTTGTTGTTACCATGAAAAACAAAGTTTAGCGCGCATGATATTCTATTTCCGGTCCATGAATTTGGAAAAAGGTCATCCATATTGCATGAGCGTCACTCTGGCACACCGACTGAATTAATTTTACATTTCAAAACATGACGAGCTTAATTTAATTGCCACTAGCGCCAAAAACTATGTAAAACTATATGCTGTTCCTGTAAAATAAGTATTGTAAGATAGGGTAAACTTTCAGTCATTGGACACTACCAGTAATTGAATAAAACACACCTTGACACGTCTTTATTGAATGTTGATTAAAACGCCGTTACAACTTCAGTCGGAATATCTTTGTTGTTGAAACAGATATCCAATTTTGAATTGAATAAAAACCTGTCCAATACCTGAACTTAAATGGCCCTTTAAGTGTCCAATAGCTGGAAGTTTACCCTAGATAGTGTGTATAATGAAGATATTTTTTTTATTTAGGTGTACGATATTTTCTTGAAATTTACTGTGAACGCTTTACACAATTAAGTTTCTTTTTCAGTCTATAAGCTCTCATTTTTTATCAGTCTTATGCCCGTTTTCACCATCAATCCCTTATTTTTAATTGACCCCTATGAAACCAAATTTCCTGATATATGTTACCATAGGGTCACTTAAAAATTTGGGATTGATGGTGAAAATGGGCATTAAATTGTACCTTTTTCAGCATTCATATCATTCTACTCCGCAACCGTGATGACGACTATTGTGTTCATCCAGATGGCCTCAAATTGGTCATCATTGATGAAAAAGATAGTCAACTCTTCATTGGACAAGTATATCGATGTGACTGTGCAGAGAAGGTGTTATATCACTACCATGATCATGCTAGCTTTGGCTATATGTGAGTATAAAACTATCGTGTATTGGATGGGAAAACTTTAGGCAGGCCTCAGACTCGGTGGACTGACGACCTGGAGAAGGTCGCGGGAAGCACCTGGATGCGGGCAGGATAGGATTGATCGTTGTGGAAATCCTTGGAGGAGGCCTTTGTCCAGCAGTAGACAGATTTTGAAATGAACGAGTGGGTATAATTATGATAAAAAGCTTTTAAAGTGTATATTGATGAAATCATACTATTGTGTTTGTTGTAACATTGTTTTGAAAGATTTGAAACTTTTTGTTTTAATACGAATGAGTTGAGAGACTAAAGGCATTTTATTCCACTAATTTAAGTGAAGTTATCGTGCTCTTATTTGTTTGATGTTACGTGACCTTTTTAACTTAATTTGGATACCTTTGATCACTGACTTTCTCTCGTATTTGTAATAGTGTTGCTCCAATCGTGTAATTTAATTGCTTGCTTTTAGGCGAAAATCTTCTATCTCAGAACACAAAAATAATGAATGTCATCTACTGTTCGGCTGACAACGTATCCATATACGAAACGTTTATTGAAGTTTCGTTCCCGTGGTTCAAAGAACTGAACTGGACCGTTCNAGTTTTTCCTAGATTCATACACCAAACACTACTTACATTTCAAATTTGAAGCTTCTAGGTCTGCTAGAAGTGCCTTAGAATTTTGATGATCGGTGAGTCAGTCAGTGAGTGACAAAATTAAGTAACTTTGACCCGTTATAATTCTTAAACTACTGGTTCAAATTGAATGACATTTGAAATATACCGTGTCTTTACAATGCCTGCATAGCTAATGAAAATTCAGCCTTCTAGTTTTATCCACAACGAAGTTACAGGCGGTCGAAAATGGCCTGAATTGCTTCGAGAAAAGGATGGTACGGCCGTGCCGCTTTTTTGCTCGACTTGGTGGGGGCACTGCCGTGACCCCAGATACACTGTACATCACGCGACACAACGCTACATCAGGCCACATAACGGTACATCACGCAACACGACACTACATCACGTGACACGACACGTCTACATCACGCGACACGACGCTACATCACGCGACACGAACGCTACGTGATTAGACTATTGTTCATCAGTGCGCTTACCATGAGTTTACGTTAGGTGCGCTCGCTAGCGACTGCGTAAAAAAATGACATTTAATTGTATGACATATTGTGCAGCGCCCCTAGTGGCTACTTTCAAGAAACAAAATCTTCATAGAGATTTTTGACGTACTCGCTAGCGAGCGCACCTAACGTAAACTCATGGTAGGTACACAGAACAAGTTAGGTTGCGTCTAAGGCTGACATGCAGGCCGCTAGCAGGGACTGTCGTTGTTTTGATCACGCTTTTCACTTAGTACGAGTAGCGTCGCATTGCGAAGCGTCACATCATTTACTAACCGTTCGCGCTAAGTTTGCCGGTCCGTGGAATGCGCGTCCCCTCTCCCAACCGCGATTAAACGCAAATAGTGATTAAACGCAATTAATGTGTCTTATTTAACGCAAATACACAATTTTTATCTATAATAATAAATAAAAATATTTTAAATATAATTAATTTGTTAAAGTTATACAGGGTGTTAGGTAAATGAGTATATGAGCCGACACTAGCCCATGTTAACATGGGCATATAAATGGTATGGTGAAGTCAGAAATTTGATATCATCATTTTAATTTTTCTAATTATCATAGGTACTTACATAATTTTTATAAAATCCGATTTGTATGAATATTTAAATAATTAAAATGAAGATATCAATTTTCTGACTTCACCATACTATTTATATGCCCATGTTACCATGGGCTAGTGTCGGCTCATATCGGCCCAACCACTAGGTACTAGGTGGACCGCCGATATGGTGAAGGTCGCGGGAGGTACATGGATGCGGGCGGCGTAGGATATATCCTTGGGGGAGGCCTTTGTCCACCAGTGGATGTCATTCGGCTGAAACGAACGAACGAATGCCTTTTCTCCTGGTTCCTATAGTTCAGATTAAAACTAGATAGGTATCTATATTATTATGGTTTACAGATTCACACCATGTTCACTTCGATTTGTATACAGCTGCGTAATGTGTGCAAGTCAAGTCGTTTTCACGGCTTTCTGTGTACAGAGGCTGATGCGGAATTATGTGTCTATATCGATGCTAGGTAAGAAACTAGATACTTTTATTAAAATACTCGTAGTTAACTAAAGTATTTAAGCAAAAAAGTTCTTTTTCAATCGAAAAAGGGCGTTTAGTTTTGCGGAATTTGAAAGGTTCCCGAAAAAAAAAAGAAACTGGTCTTTTTCTCTTCAAAAGAACCTTTTTATATTTTAAACAACTGATTGTATTAAAATTAGCGGAATTTTGAGTAAACCTAAACATAACTTTTATTCTAATAAGTCCAGTAACGTGAGGATAAACTGTAGTAGTAGAGATATTCAGTTCGGTATTAATTGAATTGTTGTTGTTAACATGAAAAACAAATTTTAGCGCGCATGATATTCTATTTCCGGTCCATGAATTTGGAAAAAGGTCATCCATATTGCATGAGCGTCACTCTGGCACACCGACTGAATTAATTTTACATTTTAAAACATGACAAGCTTTTTTTAATTGCCACTAGCGCCAAAAACTATGTAAATCTATATGCTGTCCCTGTAAAAGAAATATTAATTTGAGTTTAAAGATAGGGTAAACTTCCATCATTGGACACTACCAGTACCTAATTGAATAAAATACTCCTTGAAACGTCTTTATTGAATGTTGATTAAAACGCCGTTATAACTTCAGTCGGAATATCTTTGTTGTTGAAACAGATATCCAATTTTTAATTGAATAAAAACCTGTCCAATACCTGAACTTAAATGGCCCTTTAAGTGTCCAATAGCTGGAAGTTTACCCTAGATAGTGTATAATGAAGATTTTTATTTTATTTAGGTGTACGATATTTTCTTGAAATTTACTGTGAACGCTTTACACAATTAAGTTTCTTTTTCAGTCTTATATAAGCTCTCATTACCTATACCTTACCTATATAAGCTCTCATTTTTTATGAGTCTTATGCCCGTTTTCACCATCAATCCCTTATTTTTAATTGACCCCTATGAAACCAAATTTCCTGATATGTGTTACCATAGGGTCACTTAAAAATTTGGGATTGATGGTGAAAATGGGCATTAAATTGTACCTTTTTCAGCATTCATATCATTCTACTTCGCAACCGTGATGACGACTATTGTGTTCATCCAGATGGCCTCAAATTGGTCATCACTGATGAAGAAAATAGTCAACTCTTCATTGGACAAGTATATCGATGTGACTGTGCAGAGAAGGTGTTATATCACTACCATGATCATGCTAGCTTTGGCTATATGTGAGTATAAAACTATCGTGTATTGGATGGGAAAACTTTAGGCAGGCCTCAGACTCGGTGGACTGACGACCTGGAGAAGGTCGCGGGAAGCACCTGGATGCGGGCAGGATAGGATTGATCGTTGTGGAAATCCTTGGAGGAGGCTTTTGTCCAGCAGTAGACGGATTTTGAAATGAACGAGTGGGTATAATTATGATAAAAAGCTTTTAAAGTGTATATTGATGAAATCATACTATTGTGTTTGTTGTAACATTGTTTTGAAAGATTTGAAACTTTTTGTTTTAATACGAATGAGTTGAGAGACTAAAGGCATTTTATTCCACTAATTTAAGTGAAGTTATCGTGCTCTTATTTGTTTGATGTTACGTGACCTTTTTAACTTAATTTGGATACCTTTGATCACTGACTTTCTCTCGTATTTGTAATAGTGTTGCTCCAATCGTGTAATTTAATTGCTTGCTTTTAGGCGAAAATCTTCTATCTCAGAACACAAAAATAATGAATGTCATCTACTGTTCGGCTGACAACGTATCCATATACGAAACGTTTATTGAAGTTTCGTTCCCGTGGTTCAAAGAACTGAACTGGACCGTTCCTATACCTGCTGGAATTTTATTGCTAGTAAGTTAATTTAGTTAAATATACAACCTAAAACTAGTTTATAGTTTGTATAAAGCTTGGTCAGTTGGCCTTAGGCTACGAACCGAAATTGTTCAAAGTAACGATGCAAGAATACGTAGTGATGCGAATCAGACATGCAGACATCGTAGGAGTATCAATAATTTGGATAACATCGATCTATAAATCTATTGATTATTAGCTACTAGGGTCGCCCGCTTCTTTGTACGCGTGTACCCCGTTTTACCCTCTTAGGGGTTGAATTTTGCATATCTCGCCGTAAAAAACTATCCTTGGACTTCAAAGAACATTTAAAAAAAAGAATTGGTAAAATTGGTCCAGGCGTTGTTGAGTTATGCGCTAACCAACACATTTAGCGATTAATTTTTATATTATAGATAGATAGTAGAGGTATCAATGTGTTTGTCACTCATATCAATAGGCGTGAATATAATAAATCTGTGACTGAACTAACTAGCATAATATTATGATTAGTGAACTCGTTATAATTTTTTCGAGTAAACATGTTAACACTAGCGAAAGTATAACAGAGAATACCCACCGATTTTTATCTTCTACGAGTATATCCTCATCCTTGTTATGGATCTATTGGTGCTATAGGTAATATGGATAGTCGATATCACTTTTGTCGACTTTTACGAGTAAGTAATATTGGTTTAGCCATCACTATACATACTCTGCTGGTAGTAGACTAGACAAAACAATATCTACTGTCCACTAAAGTTATATGAAACAAGGCATGCTAATGATGGTCTGATGTAGCAAGCGAACTTGATCAAGAGTACATCGAGTTAGGTGTAGCTTAAGGCGCATAATTCTGTAAACAAAAAACCAATTATTTATTATGAAATGTCCTTTTAGTTTTTCAACGTCACTGCAACTCTAAACTGGAGCTATTCCGACATCTTCATAATCTGCATCAGTTTGTATTTGGCATCAATTTTGAAGAAAATCAACGAAACTATGGCTCAAGTGGATCTAAGGGTAAGTTTTGAATTGTATTTTTAATGAGTTGATTTTTATAAGTAAAAATCTATTGTTTCCATTGAAAATAAGGTTGATCTAAGTTTCATTATGAAAGTAAAGAAAATACTAGGTTTTGTTGGCACTAGAAAATCAAGGCCAGACCCGTATCACAAGAGGCAAACAAAATGCCCAATCTCTACCTACATCATCATCATCGAATCAGTTACACATTTATGGTAGACTAGCGGCCGCCCGCGACTTCGTACGCGTGGATCCCGTTTTACCCCTTTCGTCTTTATTACGTGGTTTAGATTTTTTCATACAAATGTTTTTCCCGCTAACTCCCGTTCCCGTGGGAATTTCTAAGTATCCTATAACCTGCCCAGGAGTATAAAGAATAATTGTACCAAATTTCGTCAAAATCCGTCGAATAGTTTTTGTTTCTATAAGGAACAACAGACGGACAGACAGACAGACAGACAGACAGACAAAAATTTTACTGATTACATTTTTGGCATCAGTATCGATCACTAATCACCCCCTGATAGTTATTTTGAAAATAAATTTCATGTACAGAATTGACCTCTCTACAGATTTATTATAAGTGTAGATTATTACTAGCTTCTAGCACGCTTCTAGTTATTAATTTCCTTAAATAGTAAAATATAAATGAAATAAGTGAATAAATCAAAAAGGTGATGCTGAAAACTGCACAAGTACGAAATTTACAACAACCAGCAGCTCGGAACTGCGGAAAATTTACATTTAGTTCGCTACAATCCAGAAATCCTGACCATCCTTTGTGAACAAGCCATTCAGGCATATTAAGACTGATCGCTTTTGTGTTGTAATTAATTCAATGCTTTGTTTCTCTGCAATGTTTTAAACTGATCACACTAGTACACTAAAACATGGTGCCTACGTTTCACGATTTTTTGGTCAACCTTGTTAGAACGTGCTTTCAATGTTTATTAATTAATGAGTATTATTTACAAGTCGTTGCAGCCTGTGATAAAAAATAAGTATATTTACTTTAGAGCTTTGTATTTTTTTAATTAATTTATTTTATTGTTAAGAAAACAAAACAGCATTCTATCACACATAGAGTTTCTCCCTAGGATATTTGAAAGAGATCACTGTTTAGCATGCCGTAAATTGTGCCGACATGACGAATTGTAATATAATACGATCTATAAAAATTATATCCTGATGTAAAATAAAATGAGTCAAGTATACAAAAAAATAATGTTAACATTTTTGTCGATAGTTTCGTAAATATCATAATCCTTACTTACACAGTTCTACCACCCGACCTTCTGGTCCAACATTCGCGAGGACTACACACGGGCGACGCAGCTGATCGCGACTTTTGACGACAATATCAGCGGTCTGATGCTCATATCGTTTGCCAGTAACCTGTTCTTCATTTGCCTTCAACTGTTCCATATTTTGTCGTAAGTATACTGGACACACGGACATTTAATAATTAAATTAACTAAAAGACTATGATTTAATTTGTGCTTAAAAAAGACTTAACAATATATAATATTTTGATATTTTACAGGCATGGATTGCAAGAGAAAACCGGGAACAAAGCGGACCCATGCGTTGCGTAAGTAACAACTAATTTAGTGATAGTAAGCAATACTGGAATACACAGCGTGGGACGTCCACCCACAAGGTGGCCCGACGACCTGATAAGGTAGCAGGAAGGCGCTAGATGCAGGCCGCTAACAATCGTGCGATGTCGTTTATTTCAGTTGCTAGTCTTATATTTTAAAACTAATGTGAAACTGTCAAATTCTGCGAGTGTAAACTTTTAAAAAATGCACTCAGGCTTATTATTTAAATCAACTTTTTCGTACTTTTGACACCTGCAACTGATTTTGTGGCAATTTTAACTCGTATTCAAATGCTCTATTACGTTTGAAGAGACCGTGATCCCATGTTTAACTGATTATAAAATTTTTCTTACTTACTCATGCTGACCGGTGGCCATTTTTGGTTGTAGCTACTTTGTACTAACATAATTTTCTGTGTGTTATACATATTTTTTGTTTTTTTTTTTTTAAGTTGGCACCAAAATAAATGTTTTTTTTTCTTCTTCTTTCTTTCTTACAGTAATGAAAAAGTGTACAGCTACCTCATGTACTTCCTCTTCTCCTTGACATTCGTGCTTGGCCGGTTCCTAGCGGTGTCGATGGTGGCAGCCAGCGTCAATACTGCCTCTAAAGCACCAGGGCCGATATTGTATGGTGTACCGGCTCATGCGTATTGTAATGAGGTAAGTTTGAACCTGGCACAAACAGTCCAGTTAGGTTGGTCCAACTTCGAGAAAGAGGTCAATCGTCGAATCCAACTCGGCTGGGCAGCGTTCGGGAAGCTTCGCGATATTCTCACGTCCGAAATACCGCAGTGTCTCAAGTTAAAAGTCTTTGACCAGTGAGTGTTGCCAGTGATGGTATACGGATCTGAGACGTGGTCGCTTACTATGGGCCTCATAAGAAGGCTCAAGGTCACCCAAAGGGCAATGGACCAGAATTATGCTCGAAGTTTCCCTGCGTGATCGAATCAGAAATGAGGAGATCTGCAGGAGAACCAAAACGACCAACATAGCTCGTAGAATTGCTACAATTAATATTTTTGTCGCTATCTCACTCTTGTGTGATAAGTACTTTATGAATAAAACTATAGTATTTAGAGTATGACTTGGACTTGTATTTTTTAATTATCTACCTACCATAAATTGCATTGCATTGCATTTTGTTTATATTTTTTTGCAGGTACAAAGATTTATCGAACAAGTACACGGGGGCAATGTAGCGCTAAGTGGCCTTCAGTTCTTTTACGTTACCAAAGGACTTGTCCTAACAGTAAGTTAACTTTTGATCAAATTCAAACTTTTAAAACCACACACAAAAACAACTGTTTCAACCACAGCAACGCGTGCAGGTCGCCATCGCCGGCTGATCACGGCACGATCACGGCGCGATCATAGGTCAATGACAGATCGCGCAGACTGTCATGGGTCGCGCGACCTGTCATTGGCCTTTGATCGCGCCAGCGATGGCTATCTGCACGCGTTGGTGTGGTTGAAGCTTACGTTGGCTCATTCATAAACTACTGCTCTTTTTAGGTGGCTGGTACGATTGTGACCTACGAATTGGTGTTGCTACAGTTCAACGGGGAAGACGCAAATAGTTAAAAAAACATAAGTTATGTATCTTTAGGCTGAGTTGCACCTTCTAACTTTAACGGTAACTATAACTATATCCCGTGATTTTTATACGGAGTTAGACAGATTTTTGACGATTGTTAAGGTAAAAGTAGGATGGTGCAACCCAGCCTTAGTCTATTCTTGATTTTTAAAATAAGTATTTATTTTAATTAAGTATTTTGCTTAATTTATTCTACGCTACATTTTTGCTTCAAAAATAATGGCAGAATGTAATTTAGTAAGTTTTCATCTTATGTTTTTCTCTAAGGTGTTAAAGTGTGTTAATAATTAAATTGCTTCATCATTAATAGCGTTTTTATTTTTAGCTTAAACCAGGTTAATAATAAACACAGCATCCAGCATCTAGCATTTATATTATGACGGGAAGGTTTATTCTCATCAGTGACAGAGTATTTTCCCATTGTCGTCCATTATTTATCATTTCTGACTTATATTTACGTAAACATTAATACTTATCCTTCCTTATTACCAACACCCTATCCCATTACTACCTTATTTGGCCGGAATACCAAAAAGAAGGAACTATCATTTGGGTTTCCTTAATATATTACGGGACCCTACGGCGGGGCTTAGGGAGACGTGGGTCTCCTGAAATAAAATCCGTAATAAGGGATTATCATGTCAATTTTCTGCAGGCACAAAGTATAGGATTAGCTTTTGTTGATTTTTTTTGGTTATTTATAATTTATAGGTACCTACCTACTATGTATTAGAAAAACAGTAAAGGATTTCAATGGACCTACACAGCTAAAAAAACACCACGATTTTAGTTCCTTGTGTCGCAAAGGGGAAGCACTAAAATGACTCTTTTTTTTCACGAAAATGGCAAAAAACAGCAAACAAAAATTGGCGAATTTTCGAACGCATTTGGAGTTTGGACTTAGAAAATGATTAAACTTTTTTCTATCTAGAGTAGCAAAGGGGGTGGACTTAGCCGAATTTTCAAAAGCTATAAAATTAATAATGACACAGGTAATAATATCACACATCTTTATCAAAATTGCTACAGCCATTTTAAAATTGGATTTTTTATCACAGATGCTGTTAACTTTACGTGCACGTTGAGAACTAGAAATAACTATAAAACTTTCAAGCAATATACGGAAAGTGTGCCAATGCTCGTATTTCTTGTGCTGAGTCTGAGTGTTCACGTTTCAGGTGATTGTTTTAGTTTTGAAAATTGAGACCTGTGTGCTGAAATGAAAATGTATAATATTTTTGACCAACTTCAAAACATAGAAGTTTCTCAATTCAGTTGGTATTTCTTATGATTAACTATTGTACTGACAGTCTTATTATGAAACTTTTTCTTAGTAAGTAATTATTTTATTTCATAGAGACAAACATGAACGTAAAATCTCTAACTTTACGAGTAGTTCTAACCTTTTCCACTAACACTAACTTTTGTTACAATATTCACACAAAAAATCTCAATAAAATAAAAAGTAACGTAGTAGCGAGATAACCCTATTCTAAATTTAACTAAAGATACCTTAAAAGATACACACGAACTCAATGAAAAGAGGACTAAATTGGATAAGATATTTGAGTTCGGAAGAGTTTGGATCTTCGTACTCGTAACATTAATTTAGATACTCTTATTTTCAACGGTGAATACATCCCACTGTTTCCATGAAATTACAAAACTAACGAACAAGCGTTTTCTCCTAAAAAGGGCGATTTCAATACAATATGTTGTATACTTATCAAAGGTGGAATAGACGATTGTTGGTCATAAAGTGGAATATAATCACTTTGACAATATGATTTTATCTAAAAATGAACTGATGCATAGTTAATATGTATGTCGAGGTCAAAATCCGCGCGCGACATTCGCCTCGAAATCGAATAGTGGAACAAACGATCCCAGTATTTCCCCCAATAGAAAGAATCGTGTCGTATTGACCGACAGTCGAAAGTCGTGTACACTTAAAGTGGCCAAAAGTTGACAACAATGCCTAATTTCAATACTTTAGCTACTTTGGGTGACACAAACTAGCGATGGGCGATTATTACTAAATTAATCGAATTATCGAATGGTCTCTATAATCGAATGTATTCGATAAGCAATCGCAGTGATTCGATTAATCGACGCGCGCTGTATTCTAACGAATAACATAATTCGTTCGCTGCGGTCCTGAGAGCTTGCGCCACACGGTTCTATCTACTACAACGAATGAATGGTCGCGTAAAGATAGGTACCTAAATAGCTTTATCATTCGATTGTCGATTATTATTCGATTTTTTTTTTCGAATTACTAAATTGACAATCGAAAGTTCGATTGGTCGATTGTCGATTCATTCGATTATTTTTTTTCGAACAATCGCCCATCGCTAACACAAACTATTTCACGTTGATAAAATATTAGGGTTCGAGAAACCAAAAGAGAGCCGGATGGCTCTAGGCTCCCACAAGCATCGCTTCGAAGACTCCTGCGACAACGTCTGCACCGATATACCCAAGGAGGACCTGCAGCCAATTTGCATGATGTTCAGCAGATACAAGAAGGGATACCAGTTCTTCGTCAACCAGTGCCACGCGAGGCGCGCTATCTGTAAGGAGAACTTAGGTATGGTTAAATCATTATCGCATTTTTTATCCACAACGAGGAAGCTCTTGGCTTGTATCTCACCTGATGGTAAGTGATGATCAGGCCGAAGGTGGAAGCGAGCTTCAATCAGAATCCGCAACCACTGAGGAACTGGCTATCTTACCTCTAACTACCGGAACACAACAATGCTGTTAACATTGTTCCATAACAACAAGACAGACTTAGGTAAGATGGTGGTAGCTAGCCAGGCGGACTTAGAACAAGCTCTACCACCAACCAAACCGAACATCAAAATCTCCCCCCACTGGGAATCGAAACCGGGACCTCTGCGTCTGAAGCAGGTGGTCTTACCACTAGAACACAGAGGCGATTCATCGATCGCATCTGTGATTTTATATGCATAATCCAGGAGGATTATGCATATAAAATCATACGGATATAAAATTCAGAAGGATCTAAATCAGGGATATTGATTTCATGTTAGGGCTTGCCAAGGGTATTCCAGTTTTCCAGTATTCAGTCATGCAGAATCCCCATAACTGGACTTTCATATGAACACACATAAGGTGTGCTTGAAATTCCAATAAAAAATTCGAATGGATCGGTTTTTCGCGGGACACTGTAAACGAGATGTACAAATAAAATGTTTCTCTTTCAAAGAAAGTAAAGTTAATCGTAGCATGTGTGCTAGGGTAAACGTATTCCATGTATAAGAACAAACAGGCCTCTCCAGCGATTTCCACAACTTTTGATTGAATTGTATATGAGTTGAACTTGTTAAACTTCGGTATAAGTGGCCGTACGTTTGAAAAGATCGTTCCATTAACTAGAAACACATGATTATTAAATTGTGTGCTTTGTGAGTTTTCCGGTGTTTTAAATCGTGATTTTAAGATGTAGCTACCTCTTACTAAAATATTTGTAATATTTGACAATAATGTAAAATCACATTGAATGGTGATTGAATGGTTGTATGTAATGAAGGAATGACAACTCTAACTTTTATGTGGAGAGATAGAATATAATTACCGTAAGAAGAAATTACATTAATGTCAACATTACTGATAGTATCTACTGATATCTGCTCGAGAGCAGTGTTCCGCAAAGGGTGTATCGGGGCACTCTGGTGTACCGTGGTCATGATTAGATGATGTGCCTCGGAAAAAAAATGTTTTCCTAGATGTAACTTAAACACAAAAAGTTTGCGGAACATTGATCTAGAGGTCTAATAGTTTGTTTGTACATTAATATTTGAGAATATTCTGTAACAACTGCGTGTAAAATCACAAAAAGTTCATTCATTACGTTACAGGAAAAACTAATGCTTTGCTAAATCATATTTTCTTGAAAAGTGCCATCTAGTACATTTTTAATAACCTTATAAGCTATTTGATGTACCTACAAACAAACACAGTCAGCTGTTCCAAAGACACCCAAATTGTGGGTTAAGAGGATCCTTGTAGATGAGTGGTTAAAATCCGTTGTGTTCCGATGCCTCTCGAAAAATTCCACGGCAAAAAGAGGCTATACTAGTAAGAGCTTCTGATGTAGGCCTTTAGAAGTGAGAATCTTGAGGTTTTCATTGATAAAGCTAAAATTGTAAATAAGCTAGCATAAATGCAAGTAAATTATAGTATGTGTGTCCACAAAGTGGACAGACGAGCTCATTAAGGTAGCAGGACGTCGCTGGATGCAGGCCAGTACTAACCGACCAATCTGAAAATCATTGAGGGAGGCTTATGTTCAGCAGTGGACGTTAGTGTATGAAAAAAACTGCCAAGGGAGGCCACTGACACTGAAAACCAGCGTCGTGGCCTCCCTCACCGGGGGCCATGGCATATGCTGAGTGGGGTCCCATTGCGATGGACATCGCTGTGCGACAGGGTGGCACTGCTCAGTTTTACTTTCACTTTCATTGTATGTTTTATTTTATGTCACCTATGTCTTATTTACTTTTTTTTTCTATTATTTACATCTTTTGTCTTCTGTGATGTCCATGGCAATAAATGTTTCTTTCTTTCTTTCTTTCTTTCAAAAAAAAAATCATACGAATATCAATATAGCCAATCTATTAGCATATTGTGATATCATAAAATGTTGGCTTTTTTGGCATTTAGAGCATTTGTAACTCATACCATCAGTAAACCCTTAAAAAATCAAACAATTTTCCATAATAATATTGTACTTTTTATGTTTTTTTCCCAGTCCTCCACATAGTACACCCGAGCAGATGTATAAGGAACCGCCAGTTTTTCATGCCAGTAAATTAACTTTGCATAAATCCATTTTGAGTAGAATATTACAACGGACAGAGGAAATTAACTCTTTGAGGCATGTATAATAAAACCTAGAACGCTGTGTCAAATATGTACCTTTGTGAGAAGTTTTATTAGTTTCATTTTGAAGGAGCAGGAGGAAAATGAAGTATAATTAAGTTTGTGGAATAATGCAATAAATATCTTAGGTTGGGTTGCACCATCTTAATTTAACTGTGACAAAAGTCAAAAATCTGTCAAACTCCATACAAAAACCACCGGTTATCGTAATAGTTACTGTTAAAGTTAGGTGGTGCAATCCAGCCTTATTCTTGAATAAATTGTGAATTTTATTCTCTTTTAAAAGGGTTGTCAAATTCAATTTGTAAAGAATTTGAACTTTATCGAAGGATAAGTTTCGAAATAAATTAAAGTTGACATTTTGAGGCTAGGTGATCT